AGCCCCGACCGCCTAAGTGCATGCCCCTTCCATTTTGGGGATTGATCAACTTCTCTTTAGCAGCCTCTGTGCACTTCTGTCGGAATCTTGTTTTTGAGCAGAATTGCTGGTGCTTCATTGTGGCTTTGGATTGAGGAATCTAGGTTTTTTTAGCAGAATTGTGGGTGCTTCATTGTAGCTTTGGATTGAGGCACCGCCCATTGTACGCTGTTGCCGCTTTGCTAAGTTCATGCGTGCCGCACGAATAAGAACTTGCTCACTCCTTCAATTTTGTTTTCGGTACGTGGAAAGTACCGCCCCTTGCGAGAACGCACCTCCCACCGACGGTGAACCTCTTGCTTTTCGTTTGTTGATCCATCTCTCATCTTTGCTCATTTTTCTCCAGCGTCTGGATTGTAACGAAACCAAATTAGAAAGTTTTGCCCAAGACACCGCGCAACTTCGGCGCATGACTCGCCCACAGGGGGTGGATCTCTTCTAGGAGAACATTCGCTCTGTTGTTTTTACCCTATGCTCAACCCATCCAAACTTGATCCAAGCTCTCCAGCTGTTACTCAGGTAATAGCGAATTCCGTGACAGACAGTAGGACGCGAGCGAATTTTATATAGTGAAGATAGAGGCTCTTTCCAAACGTTTCTTTATTGTATAGTTGCGAACATGGTCCAAACGCGCGATCCCAGTCGTCCAACGTAAACTCTCCGCTTCCAGTACCCAGGGCGTGCTTTGATTTATGGTTACAGGCTAGCATTCCGCATGATAAGTCGCTAGTGGCTGTATTACTGTCCTGTAGAACCTTGATTCGAGGAGCTTTGTCAGCGTTACTTGCCGAAGAGCTGGCAATCGAGGCTTCTCATTGCTTCGGCACCACCTTCCTCGACAGTCTCGACAGCCGGTAGCCGGATTCAAGTAATTATAGCCGCCTTGTTTTCCATCAAGCGTCACCACTTGATTCTTACTGGAGCTCCTCCTTCAACTTGTTTCTAATTTGTTTCTATCTTTATTTTGGTTAAGCTATCCTACTATAAATACACGAATCAATGGCGGCTTTCATAGTCCACAGTTTGGCCCGCGAGCGCGCGAGCGACCGAGGGCGACGCTTGCCCCTTGTTTACAATTGAATCTTGGTCGATACCGCCATAGGCTGCTTTTAGACCTCAACGACTCATCCGACCATCCGTCCAACGCGTACGTGCTGCGACGGCGGCGCTTGACCGCTGTTGACAACACTAGATCACGTGCCAGCGCTGTCAACACTACTCTAGCGACCGCCGTCGCAGCATGAACGCGTCGGACGACCGTCCGTCGAGGTCTGAAAGCGGCCATACGAGTAGTCCCCCGGTCGCTCGC